GCTGTGGTTAAAGCCAGGAATGTAGGGGGTTACACCAGCTCTGGACTCACACTGTCCGGAATGTTCTCCCCACTCTGCTGCTGGATAGTCACTTCATCACTGTGTCGTCTGGTGCAGAGCCTAAGGCCAGTGCTATCTTTCAGAGTCCAAGGCTTGAGAGACATAGTCAGATCACCCGCAGAGGATTCCCTGCAGAGTGCTATCCATTCCCCTTATCTGAAGCAGAAACTAGACTTTGTAGCTATTTAATCTTTTGGGGCACAAAGAGTTAAGTTTATCCTTAATCTACACCTGTTAGTAGGAACAAACAGGTAACTTCCGAACAATAGTATTTACAGGGTTGCTTGTTCTCTAGAATTTCTAATTCTAGCTAGATATATCAAGCTTAAGGGCAGTGGTCATTATGCATTTTCCCTTTGCTTCCATGAAAACAATGATGGGCAGAAATGTGAGGGTGTGGCTGGGGCTGTCCAGCTTTTGTGAGAAGTGTGTAAATTGCCATGGTTGGGTTAATATTATTGTTGGGTTAAAAGTGGGCCAGAATGAGCAAGTCCCTGGAACATAAAGCATGACCCCTCAAAGCTTCCAGAATCTCCTGTGGTTCTCCCGTGGGTAAAGCTGAGAGCGTGACAGGCATTTCCCGGGCTCTGTAGAAGGGGCTGAAGTGGAGTTTTGTACAGTTGGATTTTATCAGGGCTGGAGAGATGGCTCAACAGTTAAGTGCACTGCCTGCCTTTTCAGAGGATCCAGGTTCAAGTCCCAGTGCCCACAGGGTGGCCTACAACCGTCTGTACTTCCAGTTCTAAGGCTCTGCCTGGTGCCTTTTGACCTCCACAGACTAAGCACACATGTGGTGCACAGACATCCATGCTGTCAAAACACTCATACACAGAAACAGAAATAAGAAATACAACTGGTGATTATCATTTCTCTTCAGTGCACTACTCCGTACTTTTCAGATTGAAAAATTATTTGTTTGTGTATGTGTGAGTGTGGGCCTGTGTGTGTGTGTGTGTGTGTGTGCGCATGTACATAAACCATGACATGCATGTGTTGGTCAGAGAACAACTTGTGAAACTTGGTTCTGTCCTTCCATGATCATGATTTGGGTCCCAGGAATCAAACCCAGGTCCTCATGGTGTAAGGACCTTTATAGAGCCATCTTGCCAGCCCCTCCCAAGATGAATGTTAAGCTCCTTGCAGGAGACCACACTTCTCCATTTCTTTCATACTGCCTGGAACAGATGAACCAAATGCATTCTTATTGAATGAAGACAGCTCTCTAATTTTCCTAATCAGATAAGGAAGACAAAATGGTTTTGCCTGAAGTCTTGGCAGAGGTGAGCAAGAGAAACTAAGAATGTTTGGCTGCTAGATGGGGAATGTCAGAAAGGGTGTCGTGGACAGTCCTGTGAGTGACAGTCATCTCGATAAGGCTGTCACCTTATTGGGGCTAGAGCCAAGCAGCATCTTATGACGGCCTAGGTCGGCAGGGAGGAGATGGGAACAGACAGCTGGAGGCAAAGTGAAGACTAAGGATTGTCAGAAAACTTTGAGAAGATGTCCCTTATCTCATAGCTGGAGTGGTGGTCACAGCTTGGCTTCTGTTGTCTAACAAATTTTCAGATTCCTCTTTTGATTTACTCTGACCTAGGTAAGAGGATTCTGGAAAACATGGTTTCCAGCATTACTAATAGCTATCCTTCCTGCACCAGACTCAGGGGCAATTTCTCTTCTGCTTACTAAGTGTAAAGGTCAGGCTAACTCGGGGAAGCAGAGCCGTATGGGTATCATGGCTATGGAGTATGGTTCCTAGGAGCTTAACCTTTGCTCCACGCAGACATGTGTCGCTGGAGGCCGGCGGTCCCCAGTGAAGTGCAAGGTCACTGCTTGCTTGTTTTCAGGACTCAGCAAGGCTCCAGCAACTCCTCTATTGCCTTGATAAAGTGCTGTGACCGAAGCGGCTTACAGAAGGGTGGGTGTACGGTTCCAGCCACATGGGAGCCCATCACCACCATCCTCGTAGAGAGCATGGTAGCAGGCCGGTGGAGAGGGCACTGGGCAGTAGCTGAGGGCTCACGTCTCCATCCACAGCTGGAAACACTGAGAAGTGACTCGAAATGGCAGGAGTCTTTTGAAACTCCAGAGCCTTCTTCTGTATACTTTTTCATGTGAGCAGCCCCCACCCCCACCCCATTCTTCCTCAAATAGTAGTCTACTGAGACTTACGAAGAGCATCTCATTCAAGACACCCTACGTGGTTTTTTTTTTTTTTTTGACAGTTTCTGTGTGTAGCCCTGGCTGTTTTGGAACTTGATCTGTAGACCAGGCTGACCTTGAACTCACAGAGATCTGCCTGTTCCTGCCTCCCAAGTTCTGGAATGAAAGGTGTGAGCCACCCCTGCCCAGCAAAATTACGTTCTTTTCTTTATTTTTAGGCGTGTGGGTATTTTGCCTGTAAGTGTGCCTTGTCCATACACTACATGTGTTCAATGCTCACAGGGGCCAGAAAAAGGCGTCTGGTCCCCTGGGACTGGAGTTACAGGCAATTAATTGTGATCTACCATATGGGTGCTGGGAGGGAACCCGTGTCCTCCGCAAGGGCAGCCAGTGCTCTTAACCTGGTCCAGCGCCCCCATCCCACATCATTTACTATCCAACTTATGTCTGCTCGGTAGCTAGGAAACAATAGCACAGTATCATTCAGATGGTTCTAACAAGAAATGGAAGATCAGAACGAGTTAGCACTGGGCTTCTCAGGTGTCAGCCAGAAGCTGGAGAGTGACCTAAAGATGTCTTCACAGTTCTGAGGAGTCACGTCTGCTCTGCAGTGTCCCACACAAGTAGAAAACTGGATGAAGCGGAGAGATGGCTAAGAGCACTGGCTGTTCTGGCGGAAGGCCTGAGCTCAGTCCCACTCATGTGGCGGCTGGCAGCAGTTTGTGACTCCAGTTTCACGTGAGCCAATAGCTCCTTCTGACTCCCATTGGCACGTGGTACACACAGGCAAAACATTCATACACATAAAAAAATCTTTAAAAAAGAAAATTGATGAACTATAAGGAATAATTGTTTTCAGACATTGCTAACAGGAAGCAAGCTTTGGCATAAATTCTACAAGGTAGCAAAGCACAGCTTGAAAGGCCAATCTCCCTTTGGAAGTATTGTTGTAGAGTTAGTGTTCCATCAGGACAGTATCACCGGTACTGTTGACGGTACTGAAGGTGACCGTTTTACCAAAAGCTGCAGTGGCCTTTTGGGAGCCGTCGGCTCCTGGTTCACACTGCTGGGGTTTTCATGCGAGGTGTCGCACACTTCAGGCTTCCCAATACTTAGTGATGAACTAGCTGGAATACAGGGTTAGCTGTGTCACGGAGCACTGTGAAGCTACAGCCTCTGGGCTTACTCAGATGAGCTCTTCTCAAGACTGGGCCCACTAAAGCTCCCCTGGGGAGGGTAGGTAGTGCCCAGAAGGCTCCGCCCCTTCCTGACCCCAGCAGCTAATGGTCGCTGGAATGGGGACAGTTTGGGGGGGCAGCACCCCTTAAGGTACTCGTTCTAAGTACTCCCAGCTAAATTCACTGGTTTGCCAAGTCAGATGGGGGAAATCATTCATTTGGCTTGTCAGTAGTGGACTAACACGAGGGTGGACATTCACTCCTGTTCGTGACACTTGTTCACAACTGCTTAGGAAACGTTAATTCAATAAGCTGCCCTAACAGACGAAACATCAGAGATTTAAACAAGGAAAACGAGTTCTCTTGCATAACCCTCAGTGCTCCCGGAGGCTGCACAGGACCAGGGGCCTGCGCTCCTCATGCTGTGTTTCACGGTCATAATGTGGCTAGCTTCTGGGTTTGTTTTTAGACAGGGTCTCACTGTGTATCTGGCTTGAAACTCCTGCTCCACCTGCCTCAGTTTCCTAAATGTGCCATCACATCTAACAGTGTTCCTTTATTATTATCAATTATCATAATTTTGAGATAGGGCCTTATTCTGTAGCCCGTGGTTGTCTGGAATTTGCTAAGTATCACTTGAACTTGCAGTGATCCTCTGCCTCCGCCTCATGAGTGCTGGGATTAGGAAAGAGCCACCGCACCGTACTCAGCCACAAGGCAAGTGGTTTTTACCACAGGCCTCTCTCACTGAAGAAAACTCTCCAGTAAAAACAGGACCTAAAAACAAAACAAAAAACTAACTCCGAAGGAAAAAAAAAAAACAAAAAACAAAAAAACGGCGCTGAGGGCAGCAGTAGCCAGAGGCAAGGACAAGGGACGTGGGTATCCTGACCAGGAAAACGGGTTAGCCCCTGGCGCTGGTGAAACAGGTAATCCTTTGCGGTTCCTCTACTCCAGTGAGAACCGGCCTCTCTGGGCTGTCGCAAACTTGTTGCATTTCTTTCTGGCGCCCGCGCGCTGTAGCCTGACTTCTGTAGGACAGGCAGAGTGACTGAGCGCGGGTCCTGATTCGGAGATGTTTGCTGGCGAGCTCTGCTTTAAAAAGGTTAATAAACTAACTAATATTAAAAAAATAAAAAATAGGAAAAAAGTAAAATGTATAATCTCTCTTTTGTTAGGATAGATGAATGATGTATTAGTGCCTGTAAACTATTATTCCTCTAGAAAAATGGAGATGGGTGGATAGAGAGACAGGCAGGCCGACACATAGATGACAAACAGAGTACAATGAGCTTTCTAAATATTCTTTTTTGGGTAAAAATGTTCACTTGCCGGAAATTACAATCACTCCTAAACTGTTAAGAGTGTAGCTTTTGTGTCGTAACAGGATGAAATAAAGACACCTCGGATGAATAATTCAAGTGCGAGATTGAGCAAGCCTTCGAAAGGAGGCCCGGCCGCTCGCCCGCCTTCCGCCCCGGGCCTGGCTGCGGCGGCCGCGCGGCCGGCGCCTCCGGGTCCGCGGGGGCGGGGCCTGGAGCCCGAGCCCGCCGATTGGCCGGGTCGCGGGCGCCCCTTCCCCGCCCCCTGGCGGGGGTGAGAGGTCAGCGGCGGCGGCTCGGCCGGGTCCACCATGGCGGGGCTGAGGGCCGGCGCGGTGGCGCTGGCGGCGGCCGGGCGGCGTTGGCGGCGCTCCCCGCAGCAGCTGCTGTGTTCGCTGAAGGTGAGCGGGGCGGGCTCGCTGCGGCCCGGCTGCCCGAGGTTCCCCGGCGACGCCCGCGGCGCGGCCGGGCTGCCGGGCCCGGGCCGGGCTGGCGGCGCTCGCCCTCCGCCCTGGCCCGGGCGCCCGGGCACGCTTGGCCCCGAGGGCGCTGGCGTGAGCCGGCAGAGCCTTCCCCGCGCTCCTCCGGGCGGGCAGGCCCCCGGGCGTGGAGCCCTGTGTCTGCGGTGCCGGCTTCCCCGCGGCTTGGGAGACGGCGCCTGTGGGAGTGCTCGCTGGCTGCCTCCGCAGACACGCGGAGGGACGCCGCGTGGCTGTTTGTGCTAAGATGTCAACAGGGTGCACGGGGAAGCCGGCGTCACCTGTGTGACACCACTGCGCGCCGCGAAGGCAGGCGTCCTCTGAGGTGGTTGTGCGTAGCTTGGTTAGAAACGCAGTCACGTCACTGCTGGCCCCGCTGGGTGTCACGCTGACATTTTGACCCACAGACTGGAGTTCTTCCGTACGGGATTTCACTTGCCGGCACTGACTTTCCTAACTTTCAGAGTAGATTTACTAAGTCACTTGAACAAATTTCTTAAGGCGAAGGTCTCCTGAAAACCCTCCGAAAGCCAGCTGAGTGTGCCTGCTAAGTTTCCCTGTCGTTCCGTCGTCTGTGCAGTGCCTTGCACCTGTAATCACGCCATTGGAAAGGCTTCGGTAGGAGGATTGTGAGTCCAAAGCCAGGACTGGTTACATAGAAGAAAGCTGTCTCAAATCCTTCCCTACCTTCAAGGGGGTGGGGGGAAGCTTCAAACAAAACAAACAAGAAACTCTACAATGTTTGATTTATGGTCATTGAAATTTGAGTTAGCATTTCAGAGATGATACTCCCCCTCCTCTTCTTTGTGAGAAAGAAGTCTCTGTAGCCCTGGCTGTTCTGGATCACTCTGTGTAGGCAAGGTTGGCTTCAAGCTCACAGAGATCCACCTGCCTTTGCCTCCTGACTGTAGTGTGTACTGCCATGCCCAGCTCATTTTATTCTTTCTAAGGAAGTAGAAACAGGGCCACTTGGGCAGTGTGGCCTGGAAGGTTGTCTCAGGTGTTAGCCTCAGAATAATAGCTCTCACTGTTCTTTGTGTTGCTCCTCAGCTTTTGTTCTTTAGTTTTTATCATCCTGTAATCATTTAACCTATGTTTGCTCTTGCAAAGGCTCTGACAGGTTTACTTATAGAATGATTTGTAGTGGAAAGGTACAGTCATTGGAGCCATACTTTGTATATTTCTTCTTCTGTGGGGTGTGTTTTCTTGAACTAGGACTTCACTTAGTTGGCCTAGGTTGGCCTCAAATTTGCTGTGTAGTGGACAAAGATCTTGGTCTTCTGACTCCACTTTTCCTCTTCCTACCCCCCAGAGCTGAGGACCAAACCCAGGGCCTTGCACTTGCTAGGCAAGCACTCTACCACTGAGCTAAATCCCCAGTCCCCTGCTCCCACTTTCCAAGTGCTGGCATTATTGGTATGCACCACCTCATCAGGTTTCAATATTGTATACTGGATATATGGTTTTCTAGGTAGTTAAAAACAAAAAACAAAAAACAAAAAACAAAAAAAAAAAAACACAAATCTTTATTGAGTGCCTCCTGTGTTGGAGATGAAAGTTCCCATTACTTACAAAATCTCCTCTAATAATGAGGCAATCACTTTAAAAGGCTATTAAGGAGTTTTGGCAATGGGATAAAATAAAATAGACTAAGCTGACCAAGTCAAGAATATTTTTGCCTTACACCCTAGGCATCTCTTTTGCATTAATTCATTCAGTCCTCGTGTTAAGCACATAGCACCACTTACAAGAAATGGACTCAAGGTCTGAGGTGTTAGGAGGCTTAAAGCCCGAGACCCAGTAAGTAAGCCCCCTATGCGCTGGGGCTCCCCTAGCAACCAAGGGCAGAGCTGTACCCTGCCTCACTGGCAGCTCCAAAGCGCAGTCAATGCTCTTAATCATATTATGCTACTTCGAATAAACGGTGTTTACTTTTGGAAATAAAAATTTCAACGAGGGCCTGGAGAGATGGCTCAGCAGTTAGGAGTACTGTCTGCTCTTCCAGAGGACGTGGGTTCAATTCCCAGCACCCACATGGCAGCTCACAACTGTCTGTAACTCCAGTTCTAGAGGATCTGGCACCTCCTTCACACCAATACACATAAAAAATAAAATAAATAAAAATTCCACCAAGCACCAGTGGGTAACCTGATGACTTGGGTTTGTACATGGACTCACACACAGGCAGAAGGGAAGAACTGTTAGCACAGGGTTGAGCTCTGATCTCTATCAAGCTCTGATCTCTAGCTGGGGCTAGAGAGAGGCCCAGGCCTTAAAAGCACTTCAGAGGACCTGGTGCAATTCACTAAACCCGAATGGCAGCCCACAACCATTTGGAGTTCTGGCCTTTGAAGGCATTAGGAACTCATGTGGTGCAGATGGCAAAACACTAATACACATAAAACTAGAAAAGAATCTTAAAAAGTTTTGAAGGATGAGGTGGTCTTTTCTCTAGAAAAGAAAAACAGTGTTGTGAGGGAACGGGATGTGTGATGGGCCATGTCCAGAGGAACAACAGTTCACGAGCACCGAACATGTCCTCCGAAGCTCGGGAGCCCAGCCTGAATGCCCACTGCGGGCTTGTTGGTCTCGTTCTTTCTGGTATTTCCTAGGGTAGTGCTGTGTCTCAAAAAGTTGCCAAGGAACCCTAGTGAATTCTGGGATGACTCATGTATTGGGCAGGCCTGCAGCTGGTGAGGTGCAACTGTAAGTCGGGGCTGCCGGGAAGTGGAGACGGGAGCCACAGACAGCTGTTTACTGTTGTTTGAGATTTCCAGAACCTGTCGGGAAAGCAGTACAGTGTACTTGAAGAACATACAAGTGTAGGCCTTTGTCGTGGGTCACTTAAAAAACCTTGTGTGAGCGTGGATATGCTTATTTACTTGCACATGAGCAATTTACCAGTGATACAACACAGAAGAGAAACTTCCTCTTTGTATCATTCAGGGTTTCGTAGAGAAACAGAACTGATAGCCTCCATCTACTATCTATCTGTCTATCTATCTCCATCTATCTATCTATTGAGAGACCAAAAGATTAAAAATCAGCTGTTATTAATTAAGGCCTAAACTAGCTGGGTGGAGAAGTCCAGTAATGCCCTGAGGGGAAGGACCACCTTACTGCATTCTTTCCCCAGCCACTAGAGATACAGTTGCTAGGAAACTGGCCCATTCCCCCTAGGGAGGGACACCAGGTCATTAATGGTCTGGGGACCTTCCTATAGCCAGTCAATTCAAAATGTAGCATCTTGACAAATAGATGCTTGCCAGGCAGGAATCGCCTCTGGCTTGGGCATGTTGGGATGGACCAGAATCTTTAAATGACCCAACTAACCTGGGCACGGGGTGCTCGGCTCTCACCACTTTGGCGGTGGGGGGTGTGGGCCCAAGCTGCAGCTTGTAATTTACAGTAAAAAGAACCTCATGCATTTACAGTGGAGTCTGTTTATTCCTGGTCTTTTGGGGTTCGCAAACTGGGCAGAACACTATCTATCTATCTATCTATCTATCTATCTATCTATCTATCTATCTATCATCTATTATCTATCATCTATCTATATCCATCTACTATCTATTATCCCTATCTATGTCTATCTACTATCTGTCTATCATCTGTCTGTATCCACCTGTCTACTATCTATATCTATCTATCGATCTATCATCTATCTAAAAGGGAATTATTAGAATAGAGACTAGCTTCCAGCTAGTCCAACAGTAGCTATCTACCAGTGATGGTCTAAGATTCCAGTAGTTGTTTAGTCTATGAGGCTGTATGTCTCAGTTGTCATCAATCTATGCTGGAGTCCTAAAGAAGTAGGCTCTAGTATCAGTGAAGGAATGGACTTGCCAGAGAGATGGAGAGAAAGCAGGCAGAGAGAGCGCGCTTCCTTTTCCATATTCTTATATAGGCTGCCAGTAGAAGGTGTGGCCCTGCTTAAAGGTACCCATCCACTTGGGTTCAGCTAATTCTGGATGTAATCAAGTAGACCACAAAGAATCCATCACATTCCCCGCGGTGACCTTCACCTGCCCACAGCTCCTCATGGGGAGTGCGGTCTTCAGTGTTTCTCCCTGGGGGAAGGTTGACAGCTGGATCTTGTGGAGGTGACTGGTGTGATGATAGACAGTGTGATAGAACTCATAGGTGCTGTGAGTTCACCGTTGTAGAGCCACGCCCTGTTTCGAAGGCAGTGTCCCAGCACGTCTCCATTTCCTGCCCTTACCTTGTTTCTGCTCCCTCTTTAGTGATGCTTTCTGAGTCTTTGAAGGGGTCATAGAGACTTCCCACTAGGACTGAGCACTTGATGGTCGCTTGTTCTCATCATGTGACTAGTTGTGAACATACCTTACCTACACCCACGGAAATAGAAGCTTCTCTGACCAAGGCTGAGGGCCTGTAGCCTATGGGTAGAAACATAAATATTTACGGGGCAGTTTGACAAAATATCCCTTTTTTAATTAAAAATTATCATTTTATTTTAAATGTGCTGGTGTTTTGCCTGCGTACATGTCTGTGCGCCGTGTGTGTGCCTTGTGACTGTGTAAGTCAGAGGGCATTGGATCCTCTGGAACTGGCGTTAAACGTGGTTGTGAGCTACCATGTTGGTACTGGGAATTGAGGCCTGGATCCTCTGTAAGCGCATCCAGTGCTCTTAAATTCTGAGCTCTGCAGTATAACAAGATGTCCATTTAGAAAAACAGCACAACAGGCCTCAGGGCTTGAGCCTTCCCTGCTTTGTTACCGTTCTTCTACAAACGGGGTCTCATGTCTCTGTGGGCAACTGTCACAGTGTGGAACTGCTGACTCTTAGCCGGCTCCTAAGCTGGAGCTCCTTCTTGTTCGAGTGTCTGCATAGTTTGTGCGGCAGTCCTATCCTGTCTCCTATGGAGTTCACAGGAGTTCACGTTTAGTGTTTACTTACT